TTAATGACTCAGTGGGAACGCAACCTCAGTGGCCCCAGTGTGAGTTCTTGGTTGACTGTGGGGATGGTCTCCTGGCCAAGAAGATTCCTGAGATTTCGAGTTTGAGCTAAAGGATCCTTAAGAGAAAAATCAAGTGAATCTCCCGTGACTGATATTGGCTATGAATAAAAGTCAGAATTAAGTCATCTGTGGAAATGCTACATCCTCACCCGACTGCAGTCGGTTTTCTTAGCTGTTGCTGGAGCCCCACGGAAAAGCGCTTATTTATTAAGAATGAAATCGTTCTTTTCAAATTCGGTAGCAATCATATCTCTTTCTCTCTCTCTCTCTCTCTCTCTCTCTTTTTTTTCTTCCAGTCCATGGAAAGTGTTATCTCAGGCAGCTCTGTGCAGGAAGTTGGGTTTATCACTTCCTCACAGTTGCAGTTTGTCTAGGACTTAACTACATGCTATCAGATTACATCAAAATGTAGGCCTTTGTGTGTTTAACTCATCAAAGGAGTGGACCCTCAGGACTTGATATCACTTCACTGCATATGCAGCCATGTAGCAAAACAAAGCCTATCTAAACAGGACAGAACTATTTCTGTTGTGTGGCGGCTCTGCTAGCTCGAGCTTGCAGAAATGGTCGGGTTTCAGGTGTCTGCAGTGTTTCACTTCTTGTTTTTATATTTATCTCTTTTTAGAATTGCAGTCATTTGCCTGGTTGTGTGCAAGGAAGGAAAACCAAAATATTACCTACGAGGGAGGAGACAAGATTGGTCCAATCCCCAGGGTCAGTTGGAGGCAGTACAAACCTTTACCTCATCATCTGGATTTTCACTTGAAAGCTGAAGTTGCTGTGGTCCTAGTCCGGCTCTGGACAGACCACACAGGGGGTTTGAATCCTGGCTCCTCTGTCTGCCCTGGGGCAAGTTGTTTCACCTCTGTGAGCTTCAGTTTCTCTGTCTGAAAAATGGAAAAATAATAGCACCTGCCTCATAGCCTTATAAAATAAACAATAGGGATTAAATAATGTATGGGAGGCCCACCAGGCTTGTAAAGCCCGAGGGCTACTGAAGGCCCCACCATGCTCTGCAGAGGGGCAGGGCAAGCTGGCAGCCTTGCAGTTCCAGGCTGGCTCAAGTTTCTCAGGCTGCACTTCCACCTTTGGGGCCTCAGTGCTAGTTTCTTCTCCGCGGAGTTCCCTCTTCTCTGCGGTGGGCTGGCTGCCAGATGCTGCCTCTATTGGCAGCCACAGGAAGCCGATGCAACTGTGAAGTAATACTTCTGCCCCAGGGCTGGCTCCGCCCTGTTGACCAAGGGTTTTAGATCTGCTCAGCCAACTTCTTTTAATGTCTTGCCTAAAAAGGACTTCTCACTCAGCTCTGCGGACTGGGTAATGGCTGATTGCCCTAGAGGGCTCAGACAAATAGCTTTTGGGGATAGAAAGGGTGAAGGGATCTTCTTTCTCCCAGCCCAATGCTTCAGGAGTTGGGGGTGCCATCTTGCTGCAACTCTCCCATATGATGATCATTTACCAAAATCAAATGTCAAAGGAAGACGGATGGGCTTGATTCTATAAAATCCCTCCAAGCCAGTGGGGTATAATGAGATACTCTTAAAAAAATTATTTGCATCAAGGCAGTATGCAAATCTTCACAGATCTCTGACTGGAAAGAAATTAAGTTACACCTAAAAAACTGTATAATTTAAGAAGGTAAATGTTTTCTTTTTTCCTTTTTTAAAACCTGAAACCATTCTAAATAGGAAATTGAAACAAGCATAATGCTTTATTGCTTCTTTATACTCGAGTTATTCACTGATGGCTTCCTACCTCTTGGTTTCCTCCCTTCTGGCTTCTGAGGTGGCAGATGCCCTGTGAACGACACTTCACCTCAGCTGTTCAGATCTCTTCAGAGCCACAACCACCCTCCATTCAGTGCCAGCTGGCATTGAGTTGGTGTCAGAGGTTCTCATCCAGTGGATTTTGCCTCTTTGCCTGGCCCCTTTGGGTGAGGTCTTTGCCTATCTCTTTAGCTTTTGTCCCTGGATGCTGTCTCTTGGAACTTCATTTAGCAGCCACTAGGCCAGTCTCAAGCTCTGTACAAGAGACAGGTTCCCAGGCTGGATCTAGCATCTTGGGCTTCATGTTATCTGGGAAGAGTTGAGATATTTGGCTACAACTCTCTTAGAACAGCAGTCAATGCCAATGGAAGACCAGCTCTTTCTGTTGCTTGATTAGCTTAAAATAATTTTTTTTCTAATTGCAAAAGCAGTAGATACATAAACATGTGCGTATACATACTCCTAAACACATAAATATATAAAGTTTAAAGTTGAAGGGCTCCATATCAACTTCCTAGTGGTAATTCTTTGTTATATGCTGTACCATATTTATTTCAGTACATATAAAAGTATTTTTCTTCACCAAAAATAAAAAAGACGAAAGAGAGAATGGAATGATACCTAGTCTTCCTCAACTTGCATGTTTTCCTTAAGTATATATTGAATAGATTCAAATGCTAATGTACACAGATTTACCCCATTATTTTGTATGACTGTGGCTATTGCACTGTAGCATAGATTATAAATTATTTACTCAATTCCTTATTCATGGACTTTGGACGATTTGAGGTTTTGTTTTTGTTTTTGGCTTAACTGAACATCCTTGTGTAAACGTCTTTGTGTGGATGTGTGAGTATTTCTGTAGAATTGTTGGGTTGGAGGGTATGCACATTTTAAATTTTAATAAACTATGCTAAATTGTGTCCTAGTATACCAGTCGCAATCTACTCAGAAACCTGAGAAGCCCTGTTTCCTCAAATACTTATCAACTCTAGTATTACTAAACTTTATAAGTCTACTAGGCAAAAAAAAAAAAAAAAAACAACCTTTGTTTATTGGTGTGTTTTTTTTAAATTGTTAGCAAAGTTGAGCATCTTTGGGATTTTTTTTTTACCTATCTGCATTTCATTTTATGTAAGTTTTGTTTGTATCTTTTATCCAATTTTCTGTGGAGTTGTCTGTTTCTTACTGACCTATGTAACAGGATGTTTTCAGAATGCTTACTGAAAGATGGCTTATATTTATTGTTTACTATTCTAAAATATCTAAAGATATCTAAAAATATCTAAAGATAGGGTATTCCCAGGTTGGGCAGTGATTTAGCAGTCTTGGGCATGGATACTTTCTCTGCTACGTTTTATTCAACTTGTCTTTTTTTTGTGGTTTCAAGATGGCTACCATAGTTACAGTCATCACATTTTAGACAACTATCTCTAAAGGTCCAAAGAAGGCTCTCTTACCCCAAATCCTCAAGCTTCTTTTTTGATCATGAAGGAAAACTTCCCAAGTGGACTCTCTCCACTGAGCACAGAGCCTGGTGTGGGGCTTGATCCCATGACCTGAGCCAAAATCAAGAGTTGGGTGTCCAACTGACTGAACCACCCAAGTCCCCCCGGACAGCTCTTATTTTATGTTTTTGGATGCTATTATACATGGACTTAAAAAAATTTCATTTCCAATTTTTTGTTGCTTGTATATAGAAATATAATTGATTTTTTAAAAAGATTTTATCTATTTATTCGTGAGAGATACAGAGAGAGAAGCAGAGACAGAAGGGAGAAGCAGGCTCCCTCTGTGGAGCCTGATGCAGGACTTGATCCCTGGACCCTGGGATCATGACCTGAGCTGAAGGCAGAGGCTCAACCACTGAGCCAAACAGGTGCCCCTATAATTGATTTTTGTATGTTGACTTAGTATTCTGTGATCTTGCTGTTAGTTTTACTAGATTTTTTGGTAGATTCCTTAGTCTTTTCCACGTAGCTGATCGTACTGTTTGTGGATACAGATAATTTTACTTCTTCCTTTCCAATCTGGATGGAAAGGCTCCAGGGTGTAGCCCTATAGGCAGCCAGCTTGATGAGCAATCATGTGGTTTGGATTTCAGATCTGGTAGTTCCTTGACTGGGCTGCCTCAAGCAATGAAAACCTGTCCAATCAATGTAGTGGCCTTTTCTGGCTCTTTGGTTCTATGCATGCTGCTTGTTTTTTTCTTTTCCTCCTATTTGAGGATTCCCTTCCTTATTTGATGTGTTCGATTTGAAAAGTGGTTCACTGATAGACAGTTTTTAGGTCTACCTTATTTCTAAAGGATTTTTACTCTGGCTAATGGTCAAACCTGCCATTCTTAGACTATTGACCACCTTCCCTTTTCCATTACCTTCTTTGGTTCCATAATGAAGTAATCATTCCCTCCAGACTCACCAGCTAGCTTATCCACTGGCTCTTACATGATTTTTGCAAGTGACTTTCACTAACCAGTGGTCTGGTGTCTTTTGCAAATGAAGGTCTGGGACATACTTTGCCCTCAGTTCCCAAAACTTTAAATGTCCTTTATTAAGCAACTTGTCATGCTGGGAAAACCATAACTGGTCTCTACTGCTCCCTCACAGTTTTAACTGCTTTAACATTACTGGATAGTAATTGTATCTGATTCTTTGATTCCTTATCTTAATGACTTTTTTTTTTAAGATTTTATTTATTTATTCACGAGAGACACAGAGAGAGAGATAGAGGCAGAGACACAGGCAGAGGGAGAAGCAGGCCCCATGCAGGGAGCTTGACGTGGGACTCCATCCCAATCCTGGGTCTCCAGGATCATGCCCCAGGCTGAAGGCAGTGCTAAACCGCTGGGCTTAGCCCTATCTTAATGCTAAACCAGTGCTAAACCAGGGCTGCCCTATCTTAATGACTTGTACACTTGCTTTCTTTAAATATTCTATCCTCCAAATATTTCTTATTCTTTCAATTGATTCTAATTATTTTTATATATCTCTCCTTTATCTATTTTGGAAGATACTTCTTTTTCTTTTTTAGCTCCTTTCTTTGTTAAAATGAAAGGACAAAATAATACCCACTCAGTAATATTCAATCCAATGATTTTTTAGACCTTCTTTCTGGAAATATAGGCTTAAGATTCTTTAAACTCAATGAAACTTTTTTTTTTTTTTTTGGCAGATTATGGTGAAAGAACAGTTTGTCATAATTTTACAGAAGGCATACCAGAGGATCAAGATGAACATTGGCTCAGGGAGGATCTACTCTCAACCATAGGGATAATCTTGGATTTTCATTGATCATTCCCTTTTCATTTTTCTTTGTCTTTTCTTTCCAGTTTGCTTTTGTATTTCCTTACCTTCATTACCAGGTCATTTTCCTTAATTCCTTCTTTTTGGAAAACAGCATGAATAAGTGGAAGGAACACGAATTTTGGAGTATAAATAGACCTGAGTTTCAATACAACTTTGCCTGTTACTAGATGTGCATTCTTGGGTAAGTTATTTTTTTTTTATTTTTATTTATGATAGTCACACACACACACACAGAGAGAGGCAGAGACACAGGCAGAGAGAGAAGCAGGCTCCATGCACCGGGAGCCCGACGTGGGATTCGATCCCGGGTCTCCAGGATCGCGCCCTGGGCCAAAGGCAGGCGCCAAACCGCTGCGCCACCCAGGGATCCCTTGGGTGAGTTATTTACCCTTTGGAACTCTACTGTTTTCTTCTAAGGATTGCCTGTGAAAATACGAATAATATTCATAAGGCATCTAGCACAGTGCCTGGCCCATGGAAGACATATGTTACCTGTGATTATTAACTTTGCTACTCTGACTTTCTTGCCCTGCATTTTTTCTGTGATCACTTGCCATTTATTATTGGGCTTAGATGAATCTATACATTTGTGATCTCTGAAAGTAGTGGTTTACCTTCTTTCTTTCAGAAAAACAGCTTATGCAGTCAGCCTGAATTACAAGAGAATGAATAAAAGTTGAATGTGTCCAGAATCAGAGTACTAGAGCCTTGATGGATTTTAGAGACCAGCTGCTTCAACTCTTTTTATTTTATAGATGAACAAGCTGACATAGCAAAGATAAGCAATTTGCCCAAAGCCCATGGAAGAGCATATGTAGATACTGAGATTTCCCCACTTAGGAAAAGACTTTATTTTAATTAAGACAAAATTCATAAAACATAAGTTAACCATTTAAAAATGTACAATTCAGTGGCAAACAGTACATTTACAATGTGCAGCCCTCACCTTTATCTATTTCCAAAACATTTTCATCACCCCATGTTCATTAAGCAGTCACCCCCCCCATCCTCCCTCATACCAGCCCCTGGTAATCACTAATCTGCTTTCTGTTTCTATGGACTTGCTTATTCTGGACATTTCATGCAAATAGAATCATATACTCTGTGATCTTTTGTGTCTGATCTCTTTTACTCAGTATAACGTCTTCAATTCATACTCATTGTTTAAAAATTCAAACATTAAGGACAGTATAATGAAGAAACTAAAAAAATATTCTGTAATCTCACCTACCTTTGATGAAGACTGTTAACAGTGTGGTGATTGTTGCTGTTACCATTGTCTCCCACATAAATGGGTTTACACTATTCACACCTTTTACTTGAATTTGGTTTTTCACTTAAGACTTGTGAAACAGTTTCCTGTGTCAACACACATACAGATCTCTTCATTCTCTTTATACTTTGTATGTTATTTTATTATATGGTTAGTCTGGGCTGTTTAACAAACCTGCTGTTGGATATCTTTCTCCCCACCCAATTCTTTGCTAAGTGGAACAGTTTGTACCTTAACCTGCTGAATGCACATTATTTTGGAATCCCAGTATTGGAGAGAAATGAATAGCTTCCATTACTCTGAAGACAGCTTGGTTACACTGGAAAATTCATACAGCAGTAAGAGGTAGATAAACTTTGGGTTGGCTCTAATTTCAGATTCTTTAATTCTTGGGATTAGTACCACCATCATGGTAGTTCTAGGGACATAGTGGCAAATGTCTAGGACTGGGAATTAATTAGGAGGTGTGGGTTTAGCCTTCTTTTTGCTAAAGACTAGCTCTGGGCCTTTGGAAAGTTACTTACCTCTTCAGATTTCAGTTTCTTAATCTGTGAAATGAGGTGAATAGGCTAGTTGGTTAAAATCAACAAGATTACTGCCCAGTTTATAATAATTCTCCTCCTGCAGGAATACCTCTGCTTCCTTAGGGTAGGCCCCAAGTAGCTATGCCATATTATAAGACCCTCCCTTCTCAGCCATATCTGATTGTTCTAGCAGAAAGCATTCGTCACAAGTCAATCCAAACAAAATCCTTCTTTAGGATTTTTGAATGTGAACCACAGAATGTATGGGCAGTTCCTCTCTTGTGGTGGGGAGATGTGAGAAGTGAAACTTGGTAGCCATTGGTAACCATATTATTAGTGAATCTAGGTTCCAACATGGAGAGGGAAGGGGTGGGACTCCTGTGCTATGGGTTAGTGAGAGAATAATCACATAAAAAAAGGAGGTCGTGAATTGTGTCTTGGAACAGAAAAGGGACAGGAGAAAAACTGGTAATCCAAGTAAAGTCTATAGTTATTACTATTGCTAATAACCCATGTTAGTTTTTTAGTTTTAACAAAGATGTCATATTTATATATGACATTAGGGGAAACAGGCTGAAAACTCTCTAAACTATCTTTGCAATCTCAATATCATATGCTTCCTGATATGATGCAATGAGAAGGGTACAATATCACTTATACGGTACTCTTTAAAAAAAACGTATACCTGAATTTAGCCATTAGGAAATAGCATTGAGAGACATTCCTTAAATGACTAGATGGTGCCCTTCAAAACTGTCAAGGTCATGAAAGACAAAGGATTTCTCCCATATTGGGGAAACTTAGGAGACATGACAACTAAAATGAAATGAATGATCCTGAATTCCATTCTGGACCCAAAAAAGATCATTAGTAGGTAATTGGAAACATTTGAATAAGGTGTGTATATTTGCTAATACTAATTCTTGGTTTTGATGAATTTTTTTTTGGTCATAAAAGATACTAACATTTGCAAAATAGAAATAGTATAGGAATTCTTTCTCCTGTTTTTGCATTTTTTTAAAGTCTGAAATTATTTCAAAATTCAAAGTTAAAAAGCTTACCAAAAGGTGATATTGGTATAGTGTAGACAGCTCCAAACACCCATACCTCCACAGAAACATTAGAAAGAAACCCCAGAAACTGTTAAAGCCAACTTTGGAACTCTGGAAAATAGTAAAAAATTTAGAGCCACCGAGCAAATGCTGAATCAAGAAAAAGAACCTAAAAGACATAGGAAATCTCCATGCCATTTTTTCCTTGCCCTTGCTCCACCCCTTCCTGGTGAAGTGGCAGTCTTGAATTTAGCCGCCTAAGTTCCCAATGTGGGGCCTTGGCCTTGGCTCCAGAGAGAGCAGAGCAGACCTATTAGCAAGTCATTGTGTTTGTTTGTTCTACTCTGTCTGAAGGCTACCTGAAGGATTCACACAAGGTGTATCTGTGTTTCACCTAACTCAGAAATTACTCACAGAAGCAAAGTAGACATAGCTCAGACATTGTAAGGTAGGAAAAAAACAAAAAAAAACAAAAAAAACAACAACCTCTGTAGATGCCTGGGGCAAAAAGACTACAATTGAGACATACAATAGACTGCCTACAGTTTGGGAATAAAGCTGGGGCTTTTTTTTGTTTGTTTTTTGTTTTTTTTTTTTTAATTAAGACATACATGAAGGCCCGCATATATACTAGGGAGTTTAGAAAGCCATATACATGCCCAAGACAGGACACATTCTCAGAAAAGACCCAAGAAGACCCTAGCTTTCCACTCCAGATTATCTCTAGGCTTGGTGCAAGTAGCAGGTGGGGGCTAAGGCAGAATTGTAAGAAGTCTGGCTAAGCGTTAAGAATACCCCAACAGGGGATCCCTGGGTGGCGCAGCGGTTTAGCGCCTGCCTTTGGCCCAGGGCGCGATCCTGGAGACCCGGGATCGAATCCCACGTCGGGCTCCCGGTGCATGGAGCCTGCTTCTCCCTCTGCCTGTGTCTCTGCCTCTCTCTCTCTCTCTCTCTCTCTCTCTCTCTCTGTGACTATCATAAATAAATAAAAAATAAAAAAAAAGAATACCCCAACATAGCCAGTCTGTGAAGAATGGAAGAAATATTTGTTTTTTGTTTGATTGGTGTCTTAACTCCTGGCATCAAGGAAATATCTTTTAAAGGACTAGCTGAATACAGGTAAGAAAACAGAGACTTCAGTGACCGTATACAAGGAATACAGTCTCTACAAAAAATAGTTTGGAAAAAAAAATCACAGACAAATGGACAGCTGTGGCCTTCAACAATCAAGAACAGCAAACTCTGGAAAAGAAAGAAAGTCTGACTTCCAGAGTTACCATATTATAATATTCAAATGTACACTTTTCAATTAAAAAATCACGGGACACCTGGGTGGCTTCGTGGTTTAGCACCTGCCTTTGGCCCAGGTCGTGGGGTCGTGGAGTTCCGGGATCGAGTCCCACATCAGGCTCCCTGCAGAGAGCCTGCTTCTCCCTCTGTCTCTGCCTCTGCCTCTCTCTCTGTTTCTCTGTGTCTCTCATGAATAAATAAATTATAAAAAAATCACAAAATTATGCAAAGATACAAGAAAGTATGGCCTATTTAAGAGATAAAAATAAAATGACAGAAAATATATACAAAGAAGACCGGATATTGGAGTTACTGGACAAAGACTTTAAATTGACATCTTAAATATGCTCAAATAGCTAAAGGAAATCGAAAAAATAATGTATGAACACAATAAAAATATCAATAAAGAAATAGAAATTGTAAGATGGCACCAAATAGAAATTCTGGAGCTGAAAATACAGTAACTGAAATAAAAAGTTCACTAGAGGGGTTCAACAGTGGATTGAGCAGAGAGAAGAGACAAATCAGTGAACTTGATAGGACAATTGAAACTATCCATACTGAGGAGCAGAAATTAAAAAAAGGAAAGTGAACAGATCCCAGGATATTTGGGGGTATCGTCAAACCAACCAACCAACATATGTATTTTGGGAGTCCCAGAAGGAGGAGACAGAGAAAGTGGCCAAAGGGATTACTTAAAGAAATAGTGACCAAAAAACTTCCCAATTTGATGACTCTATATGTCCAGGAAGCTCAGCAAACTCCATGTATGATAATTTCAAAGACATTCATACTGAGACATATAATTAGATTATCAAAAGACAAAGACAGAATCTTAAAAGCACTAAGAGAAAAAAAACTCGTTATGTTCAAGGGATAAGACTAACAGCCAAATTCTTAGACAGAAGGCAATGTTTAAAATGTTGGTGAGAGGGCCCTAGATGGCTCAGGTGGTTAAGTGGCTGGCTTTTGATTTTGGCTCCAGTCATGATTTCTGAGTCCTTGGATCAAGCCC